CTTTAACCTCCTGGTTACCCAGGAAAAATGCCGGGCGTGTGGTATGCAATTCGTGCTCGCCGCATAGAATCACGATCCCGTATCAGTATATCGTGCAGCCGCCCGGCACGCCCCGTCTCGCTCCGAGATACCCGGGCTCGTTTCTGGGTGGAGACCCGCGATCCCCGGACTTCAGTGCCCTCGGCGGCGGCGAGCGGGTCAGATTATGCAACCCCTGTGTTCCAGATCCCAACACGGCTCCGCCGCAAACGCAAGCTCAGGGGTCAAGCCATTCGAGGTCTCACAGCAACATCCCCGGTGGATCTGGGGGCAGTGGCAGTGAGGCCGCCTCGCCCGGATACAACAACCGATGGAGCTCGTATTTCGGGCCGTCGCCCTCGTCCGATGGGCAGGCCAGACAGAGAAGTGTAACTCTGGTTCGTGAGACCTTTTGTGATTTTCATATTACTTTTATTCGTTCCTGAAGATCGAGACCTAACAACCATTGCCTTGTAGCAACCCACTGTCACGACGTTGCCATCCGGATCTAACACCTTCTTCGTCTCCACTGCCCCGATGGAGAGTCGCATCATGTCCGGCACCCCGCCGGTATACTACCAGTCCGGTTCCTCGGCCCATTCTCATCCGTATCGTGGGCCGACATCTCAACAACGGTACCGGTCTCTACTTGATATCGGTGAGCGGCCTGGACCATCGGCTGGGCCGTCCTCATCATCCAGCCCCGATATCAACCGTCGTCTACCTCCCACTCCCCGATCACACGGTCACCATCAACACCATCACTATCAACAACATCACATCATTCCCGAGGAAGATGAGTGTCCAGTGTGCCATAGGGAGCTTCCATCACGAAATCTTCCCAACTTTGAGACACTTCGCGAATCCCACATAAACCAATGCATCGTCTCACACAGCGCCTATAACGGCGGTGCCCGTCCAGCGCCGACCGACGAGAGCGGAGAGGGCAGCAGCGGAACTAATAGCTCGTCTCTACCACCCGCGCCACCACGGCGGACCGGGATGTTCCCATACACAGCGACGGAGAAGGATTGCGTGGACTCGGCGGAGTGCACGATATGTCTGGAGGAGTTTGAGCCGGGCGTAGCCATGGCTAGGCTGGAGTGTCTGTGTAGGTTTCACAGGGCGTGTATAAGTGCGTGGTGGGAGAGACATCCGGGGAGATGTCCTATGCATCAGCATGATGGGTTTGGATATTGAGTGGAGTTAGAGGGAATGGGAGAGTGAAAGCTCGTTCGTAGGGTGGCTATTTTTATCGGGTTTGTGGTGTTGTGTGGTCGCGATTTTATGGGATTTCTTTTTGGCTTTCATCATTGCGTGTCGATTCTGTCTCATTCATTGCATGGCGGTTGAATTGGGATTTTAAAATCGTCAATAAGTACGGATATATGCTGGGCAAGTTCCTGGCCTAAGGAACTTGGTCCAGGCTGTAGGAGGGACATAGTGAAAAGTGCATATCAGAAAGAATCAAATGTACGTGGAGTTGAAGTACTTTTGTGTCAATCAAATACCACGTTTATGCCATTCCACTGCTCACGTTGGAAGCCGACTGAAAACCGCCCCCAGCAGGCGAGGGATAGATCTAATGCTCATATGTTTACATGACCCTGACTTCCTACCTATACCGTCCGCTCCGCGTCACCAAGCTGCGAATAGTCGTGAGATACT